TGAGCAAACTTTACTTATTTAATGATAAAATCAGCGCTATAAATGATCTTTAAGATTAGCTTAGACAACCATAGCATTTCTACTTTGGTTCTTGGCGGCACTTTGATACATCTGATCAACTTTTATCAGTTTCAGCTTGGGATTTGAACACGGACAGCATTGCACACTGGCTTCAACTCAGATTATTTAAATAGTGCAAATTCACAACAAATGTTATCTCACTGTACAAAACATTCACATACATTAAAAATGTCTGTTAGTGAAAGGTATCTGTCCAAAGAAGACGGCAGATTGCGTCAGTTCGTTGCGACAATGGTGACAGCAGGAAGGAAAAATCTCCCTTTAAACAGGAAGAAACCTCCAGCAGGGTACTTCCTGGTTAAAGGGAGTCCTAAACGAGTCTTTCTGATCCCCAACTATTTAATTTGTATTTTCTCCTACTAGGCCTGTCACGATAACAAATTTTGCTGCATTATTAATTGTCTCAGAAATTATTGCGATAAACTATATTGTTTGAAATTTAACAATAATTAGTAATTATTGTCAAATTTAAGAAGAAATGTTTAATTTGATTTGCATATAGTACCTTTTTTGACCACCAGATTGCAGTATAAGACTGTTTGAACCGAAGGATGGATAGTGAGGGAGCGAGCAGCGTGTCTCTTTAAGAAAAATGGGAGGGAGGCCCCTTGACGTGACATGGGCTGTGGCTCTTGTTCCTGTTTTTCAGTTCTCAAAATGGCAGACACTCGGTGTGGTTTGAGCTCTTTAGCATAGCATTTTTCACACAAAGCTTTTAATAAAAAAACAGTAAACAAGTTCTCAGCGTCTTTTTGCAGAGAAAAACAACTTTTTAGATGAAGGCACGGGTTTCAACCTTGAATTTTGGAGCTTTGACAAGACTGAGGTTTTTTCACGAGGTCGGCCTCTTGGCTTAGCTTGTAGCTTAGCTTCTCAGCTTAGCTGCTTTTATCAATCTAAAAACGTGATTTTGGACAGCCAAAAAGGATTTTGAAGAGAAAGGGAGGGGTCAGTGAAGAACACCGGAGTGTCTTCAGTTGAAAGACAGACACAAAGAAACAATGAAGCTGATAAATGAAAATGAGATCGATAATTTTAATTTACCATGCAATTAATTGATTTATTGTTTATCGCAACAGGCCTAGCTCCTACTTAGGTCTACAGACAACACACATATGCAGATGATACCCGATTGTACGCCTGTGTACCTTTTGGTATAAACATCGTTTCACCGATGTCGATCATTACTTTTCAGCGAACACCTAAAGCTTCTTTAGCTTGTTAGCATGTTAGCAACACATGTTCTCAGCTTCTTTTCAAGAGTTGCAGACACTTGCTGTGTTGAATTTTGTACATTTGTGCGAAAAATCTTCTCAAGGAAGTCGCAATTTTTTTTTTCCGCGTTTCTCAAACACTTTTTAAATTAGTTTTGGGCTAAAGCCCCAAATGTCAAAGCAAATGTGTGTATATAT